CTCCATCATACATAAAGAATGTTTCTGCTATATTCATTCGATCTTCAATAGCAGGAAGAATCTCTTTGTGCAGCATCTCAAGATAGCTGTGTGCAGTAACGGTATCACGAAAGAAGATCGATCGAATGAAGCCTCCAGACTAAATTCTGGCCCACACTGTAACGCCCGGAACATTCATTTCTTGGGTCATAATCACATGTGGACTTTCCATAGCATAGTAAACACAATTATCTGATCTAGAATCGATACTAGAAGAAGATAGCTATATTGATGTAGATATTGAGTGGAGTTGACATTGTAGAATAAAATGCTAAAACGAGAACTTCTTTTATCCGTATGTTTTTTCGCCATGTTGACTAATTACACCAATCTATTGTAATGTGATTTTGGATGTTACTCTTTTTCTTATTATATCTATGCATATTTTATTTAATAAGACTTGATAAATTGGAAGAGTAGTGCTACTGCCACACTTGATACAAATGTTACGTCATTCAAGCTATATACTATGTTTCATAATATGACACAAACTTATACAAGAGAGAAAAACAAAGAAAGACAGAATAGTAGATACACTGTGAAGAACAATAATACGCAGAGAATAAGGATATAATAGAAAGGGAAAGAAAAAAGCCAATAAGACAACAATGCAGCGGTCACTACGCCTCTAATCGGGCGAAAGGTCAGGCAACGCGTCTCGTCGGAATAAATCAATTATTGATACACACACACACACACATATATATATATATATAATATAGAACTCTAAGTGCTATGGTATGCTTTTGATACTCTATAGTGAAAAACTCAAATGTCTGCCAGAAAACGTCAGAAAACAATAGAAAATAAAATGTAAGTTATGTGTTGATTATTGTTATTCTCTGATATTTTCTTTAGTGTAAGCACAATTCCAATGACAAAATTTGAACAACTACCAAATGAGTTGATACTAATGTGCTTTCATTATTTTGATTTCTACCATTTATATGAAATTTTTTACTATTTAAATCAACGTTTTAATGAATTAATTGAATATCAAACAAAAATTCACATTGATTTATCTCCAATTCCATCTAAAAAAATGTTAAGATTTTGTTTTCAATTGAATCAGTTAATAACAGCATCCAAAAATTACCCATTATCAATTGTAGCTAGTGATGAACACAAATTTAATTTGATATTTGATGATTTATTTAAAGATCAATTTTCTAAATTAAAATCATTAACATTATCAGACATAAATGCTGCAACTATAGATGATATTATATTTGATGAAACAACAAAATTATATGAAAGATTAGAACGATTAAGTTTACTGGGTACGATCAGCAGAGGAGATGGAGGAATAGTTGACACAGAACGTAAGAATAACAATTTAAATCTAATCAATTACTTATATTTGAGATACAAAACTCGAATTTTTCTATTTAGGTTTATGTGTTGGTTTAATATCATCAGAAATGAAATCATTAAAGTATTTGAATTTAGATTTTAATCCACATGAACCTGATTGTGAATATTGTGGCCGTTTCAAATCGTTCTATTATTTGTACTTTGATGAATCAAAATTCTGGAGAGAAAAATCATTAAGTCATTTAGAAACAATTATTATTGGAAGTGAGTTATTTTAATTGTACACATGTCTCTAACTTATATTTGTAGGTACCGTTGATGAGTGTTATACAAGAACAATAATAGGCTTTCATACAATGATAGAAAATTTATTACCATATCTACCAAAATTAAAAACTTTAAGTATAAAATCACTTAGTCTTGAAGAATACGATTCTTACCAACAATCCAAAGTATGCAAAAAAAAATGTTATTAGACTTTTTTAATGCAAACTTTTAACCTGAATCTAATAGCTATTTAAAAAAATGAGTTGATCTCAAAGGAATGAACTTGTAATTGACTGTACCATCTGTCGGATCGAATTTATTCGATGGAGTTTAGATACACTTTGATACTAGTTTTCAGAAAGAAAATTTCTCTTATTCTTTTTTCTATTAGGTATCATCAATTACAACAACAAATTCAATTTTACCATTAAAATTAGAAGTAATTAAAATCTGGATTAGGCTTCACGACATAAGAAGAACATATTGTGATCGAGAGCAATATATAAATTTAGTACGAAAGTTCTTCATAAAGAATACTTCGTCTGATATTACAACAATTAAAATATTCAAAATTAACATTCGGTAGAACTTTGTTTCTTTAGGATTGATATGATAAACTTTGATATTTAATCTTTTTGTTGAAATGTGTTTTATGTTTATGTTATTGAATAACGAACACAAAGAGCATAA